TATCCAGCACATTATAGACAAACTATGTGTGTCAAGATGTGCTTTTATTACCTTTATGTGTCATTTGAATGTTGGTGGGTGAATTAATTTGGTATATTGCCACAAGAAATACATCACTAAGTGGGTTAAATAGCAGAAATTTATTTCTCACAGTTCTAAAGACTAGGAAGCCATGGCCGAGGTCTCAACAAAGCACTGTCCTGCTGCCATGGCTTCACCTGGCTTTTCTTTTGCAAACCCATATTCCAGAGCTCTCTTCTGTTTTCAAGAATACCAGGCCTGTAAGAATAATAGCCTTGCCCAAGACTTTATTGATTCTTACTTCCCTAAACGCCCTGCCCTCAAATGCAATCATTCGGTGCAAGGGTCTCCCTGGCTGTCTCCTGTCAGGGTAGGTAGCACCATGGAGGGAAGCAGACAAGAAGAAACAATGTGGTGACCCAGAAGTGACCTCCCACTGTGTCCCAAAGAACCAAGCTTCCAACTCATGACCCCTAGGGGACAAACTCCATCATGGTAGGTAGTCAGCTCTTCAACAGGTGAATTTCAAGGGATCTGGTTCAACCCATAACAAGACCAGAAGTCAGAGTGAACTTATTTAAAGGGAGAGTAAGAGGCAGGAAATGGACCTCATCATCAGCCATCTGGATGAGTCACAGCCATTGCTTGACCAATTTGCTCTCTGTGAAAGTCTGAGAGAATGTTTTCTCTCTAGATGACTCTCCTTAGGCACACTATGCATTGTTGATCACTTTCCTCTGTGTCCCCATAATCTCCTTGAGCAGAAAATTTGAGACACTACTGAGTTACAGGATGTTACAGTACAGGTTCTCTTATGTCCTGAGTCCTCACTGACCTTGAAAGGCTAGAGTCAAAATATTGTAGCCTTTCTTTTTCTCTAAATTCTTTGGCCTGAAAACTTCAGTTGTTATCCCTCCAGAAAGAAGCTTAATGTTATTATTACCCTATAACATAGGCATTTGAGCTTAACATCTCTCTGAATATCAAATGCTTTAGACATAACACGGAACTGCTATTTCCCAGCAACCATGGATATTTTAAAATTTAAATCCCTATAGAATGTGAAAAAATAAATAATATAATAAAAATAAACAATTACACCTTTTCATACAGAAATTTAGAACTCTAACCATACACAACATTGTAGCAGGAGAGTACTATGACTTTTTTATTTGTCTCTTGTTTTCTTTTATTACCATTTTTTTAAACAAACATACCATTATGCAAATCATGTGGAGACTCCTTAAAAAAACTAGGACTGGAAATCCCATTCAGTCCAGCTATCCCCCTACTGGGAATTTTCCCAAAAGAACTGAAAACATCATAGCATGGTGATATATGTGTACCTATGTTTATAGCAGTACAATTTATGACAGCCAAATCTTGGAAGCAACCTAAATGGACCCCATCGATAGCCGATAGTCTCAGTCTTTCCAAAAATTGTGACAGTCAAGGGAAGGAAGGAAATTGTCCTTCTTCCTACCTGTATTAGTTTTGTGGCAACATGGAAAGAACATAAGATGTGACATCAAAGCCTGAGTGTAAGTTGTGTCCCTGTACTTTTTTCTATGTTCCATTTGGCTCTGAATTTTCTTACTTCTATGATACTTAGTCACTACACAAGTAAAAAATTCATAGTTGTGCTTTGTGAGGGTTATTATAAAGATCAGAATTATTGGGAGGGTTATTGTGAAGGTTAGGATTAGGCCAATAAGGTTTATAACAGGAAGAGTCCAATAAATACTTGGCACCACGTTAAAATCCCCCAGAATGCATACTGTCAGAGTCCACAGTCCTGTACCAAGTCACACGGGTACCACACCAAGCTCCCCTCCAGTACTCAGACTCGATTGGGTTCAGGGGTTCTGCTGTTTAAACTTATCCTAGCTGGTGATTGCTTATAATTCCAGGTATGTTGTTAAAGCTTGTCAGCCTCCTAGAAATAGAGACAGCCCTTTGGCAGGTAAAAGTCATTAAGAAGTAAAGTACCAGTCAGCCAGGAAACAAGAAAGCCCACAGGCAGACGCCTCAACCGTGGAGCCTTTTGGATATTGCATGCAATGATCGTCCTGTCACACACACTTAATTCAATTATACTGGCCCTTCAGTCTGGAAGGCCTGTTGTTTCCGGCCTAGTATCTGCAAGTCAGAGACAGCTGGAGGAGAAACTCTGTACAGAAAGTGGCATGGCTCAGATGTGCCACATGCTATGAAGGCCAAGAGGTTAATACGCTGCTGTGTTTCTTGCCAGTTGAAGGGTCGTGAGGTCTGGACAAGGTCATGTTGTGATTGAAAGACTGCTCATAAAATCCGTCGAAAACTGCTTTACTTTTGCCGAGGCTGTGTTTCTCACAACGATGAATAGAGAATGTGGTAATTCTAAAATAAAAAAAGATGCTTAAAGCCCAACAGCATCCCACAAAACTTAGTTTGAAAATATTTCTGCAAAGAAAAATTTGTGTTTGAGGAGCTCCAGAAGAATGAAAATTTGAGGATCGGTATCATGCGTTTATTAAGCCACGAATGCTTCCGGGATATCAGGCACTTCAGGTCTAGTTGGTGCACACACCTGTGAAGAGTTTGGGCACATCTTTGGAGGTCTCACAGTGGCAAAGACAAACATTAACAGGTCATAGAGACAGGCTCCTCAGAAGGGCCTGCAGGAACCTTGTGGGTCATCACCAGTTCTCCTTGCAGGGGGACCCCAGAGAGGAACACTGATAATTTAATTGGATCATAAATGATCTATACATATTTTATAGTAGAAAAGAAAAAAGAAACACTTTTGGTTGAAGAAAATGAGCTATAAGTGATTCAAAATAAGTTTACATAAGACTTTTTCAAGGGGCCGGGGAGATGGCTCAGTAGAATAAGTGCTTGCCTGGCAAGCACAAGGGCCTGAGTTCAATCCTCGGTTCTGCAATAAATAAATAAATAAATAAATAAATAAATAAATAAATAAAATTCACTGTTAAAGACTTTTTCAAGAAAGTAGAAACTTTCTATTAGCTATTTTCTACGCATGTTAGATCTGTTGCATGGTGTTCACTTCTGTGTTGGCAAATATCGTGATACTAAATGGTTCAAACTTGTAGATCAACAGCAATCCTAGGGAGTGACATTTTCCCTCATCCTATCCCAGGATCGACTGAGTAAAATCAATCCATTCATTCAGATGAATGAAAGAGAAAGTTGCAATAGCCCTCTTTGAGTATAGTTTGCTTGATTTTTCTCTATAAAGACTAGGCTGAGGTCAAAGTGCTAGTTCATAGATGCCTCTTCTAAGCTATTCTTAGCTCCTGTTAGTACTCAGGTGGTTACTTTCTTACTTTCTCATTAGCTTTACCTTCAAAGGCTCAGACTTTATTCCAAGCCTTCTTTCCTATCTTTCCTTGTTATTTTCATTTCTTCTTGTTTATTCAACACTATTATAAAGGTTTTTCCATGTCACTATTTCCAAATAAATAGTTATAATACAAAAAATTCAAAATTAATGTTTGCTATCTCTTGTTACTCATTTGGAGAAACACTACCCTTCCAAATACTTGTTTTATCATTGCTATTAGTCTTTTGTAAACTATTTGAGAGTAGTGATTGGGACTTACCATGGTAAATCATGACTCCTCAGATCACTTCCCACTAAGTGCAAGTTCTAGCCTCAAGGTCCTCTGTGAGGCAAAGCAACAGACAGCAGCAAATTCTAGGAGGAGGTAGTGGGGTAGTATCAAAAGGATGCAGCTTTGGGAAAATGGCCACATTGCTAATTGGTCCATGAGACAAGAGATTAACGGTACTCATGATCTTGGGGTTAGGGGAGCTGAGAAGGGACTGTTCTCCTTAGCCTCCCTCTCAGTCTGGAATCTGTAGCCAAAGGAATGGATGTAGATGTAGGAAATCCATAGCTCCACAGGAGCGTCCTTCACCTAGGACTTTGTTTTACCTGTTGAGTTCCTCCGGTGAAGAATGGACTAGATTACAACAGAGTTGTCGTGTAAGGCTCCATCTCATCTCACTGCAGAGAACATGGACTGGATGGTGCTATTCTTTCACGAATGAGCACCTGGATTGTAATGTATTGACAGAACCTCCAAATTTGCATTCACAAGGTCCTATGGCAAATGTGCAGATATCACCAGATATTGCTTCTGGACAGAAATATGTATATGAAGAAGTATATTTAGGATCCATTGTATTAAGCAGAATTAAAAAGGATTGATTCTTTGTTACAGGTCTTCTCAAAATCTATAAATTCTAATTCTTTTTAACCAAAATTTTATTAAAGTGTACAGCATTTCCCAAACATACAGGCACAAAATTCTTTTTTGCCTACAGCATCTCTGAGAAATAACAGTTTCAATGAAACTTACAAAGCAAAGTAAAATATATTAGAGCCTGTCTCTAACAGCAGACTCTCTTGGCTATAAAAGAGAGCTAACTCAAAGATTCCCAAGACTCTAACCCTCTGGGTGCGTAGGAGTTACTTTGCATAGAGCAGTGACACCAGGAGCTGCGGGCTGCTACCCTGGTCAACACCTCTTCTGAACTCTTCACATGTAGTTCCTGGTGAAATACCTTATTTCAGTGTTAATTGAGGAGGGCTTTAGCAAGTTCGCTATGGAACTAATGCTCCGTGTTATTACACAACCATTCCACATTGTAACTACTGCTTTGTACATAAACAAAAATTTCAGGTTGAATTCTTGGTGATTTTTGTTACTTCTGCAACTAAGCCATATCATTCAAATGCTCGAGTTTGGATGTCCAACTTAAAGAACAATATGTGCAGAAACAAATTATTTCGAAGTACCTCATACTATTAGGTCTGAGAAATGTAAAGGCCATTGTTGACAGTGTGAGGATCCTTCCTCTGGGAACAAAACACAGACAGCTAGCCGATATTTCTAACTGTTTGCGTGGCGCTCATGTAAGCCTAGGGGAGCAGCAGCAGGTTCTAAGATTCTTTCTACTTTGCTCCACAGACAGCGTGGAAGATGAGCTGGAGATGGCCACCGTCAGACACCGGCCTGAGGCCCTCGAGCTGCTGGAGGCCCAGAGCAAATTTACAAAGAAAGAGCTTCAGATTCTCTACAGAGGATTTAAGAATGTAAGAACTTTTTGACTCTATCTTCATACATTCTTAGAAGAGCACAGGGAAGTGAGAGAGACACAGGGCATAGAACCTGCTTTGAGATCCCTAACTAATGGGCATTTCTTACTGAGGCACCCTAGGTTTGAATCCAGCCGATATCTATTTGGACTTTGTCCCTGTGGTACACCAGCACTGGCCTAGTACACCATAGTTGGCCATGAAACAAGGATGGGTACTCATTAAAGGTTCACTCAATTTAATTATCTGGTAGTTAACTAAAATATGTTAGTTTGTTCTCCTTTAGTTTGACAGTATCATGCCAGTTATTGCTTCATTTCTTAGCTATAATCTCATGTTTCACTTATAGATTGTGTCCTGTCAATCAGATTCAGTGTGGTGCTGTAGCAAAATGACTCTAAGCTTTATTTTCTGCAAAGAATCTCTCTTGAGTAAAGCTCAAGTCACTGAGTCGGGCTTTCCATGGTCTAGATGTACACTTACTCTCCATCCTGAGCAGCTCATCTTCACAATGAAGCCCGTGCTTAGCAGAGGTGGGGGGAGCGACCTGGACAGACTCCCAGTAATCTGTCATGTGCAGCCTTTTTCTGAATACATGGTATATGCTCTGTGTTAAAGTTTGATGGAACAGATTATCAAAATCCAGAAAAAAAATGCACCCTATTATAAAAGCTTATAGTTTGGATAAGGAGCAAAAATATGCTGTCATTAATCTATTTGAAGATGATTCATCTTTAACATTATCAAGTGTTTGTATATCAAATGGCGTGTGTGTGTATGTGTGAGTGTGTGTGTGTGTGTGTTTCCCTGAACACCCAAACTAAATCGATTTGTTCCTTTTCCAGACCCAATCCCAGAGAGCCCCAGTTCCGTGCCCTGTAGATGCACTGTATTGTTGATTTCTGCTGGTTTTTTGAAAGTAGTTAAAGCTTAATTTTTTCCTTTTTACTCTGATTTTCTTTTTTTTCTTTTGAATTTCTAACAACTCCTTTGTTCTTTTCTCTTTAAATGAATCTTGTATGTTATATCTAGTAATCTGAACAACTAATTTGAAGATAGCATTATGTAACACACCAACCATTGTTGAATTCCTATTACTTTTCTTTGTTTAGTGAAATCTTATATCATTTCTAGTGCTGTTTTTTTCTTCTATCACTAATTTGTATTCTTTAAAACTAATTTTTTAAAAAAGAAGCATATTCTGTCAAATATTTCTCCCTCTCTGACCACCTCAGCTGCTTCCTGTTTGTAGCTCAGTCTGTCTCAGAAAGAAACTCTGCTTCTTTGATGCCAACAATAATACTTTACCTATTTTCATAAATCTAGTTGACTTTTCAGATTAGTTTATAGGGTTTCATCATGCATACTGCACATAACCTTGTACTATCTCTCTGACTTTATGGGGTCTGACTCTGTCCCATTTCCCTCCCCAGCCCTCTCCTTATCCTGGTTTCCTCATTGTTCTCCTTCATTGGTCGAAGTGGATTTCTTCCTCTTCCTTTGGAGAGGAGCCTAGGCTGGATGGGAAGGGCACTGGGCACATCCACAGGACTCTGACTCAGAGAAACTCTTGATATGTAGTCTCCTAAACAGATGCATATAAATTAACATTGAAAAAAGAAAACAGAGTTGATGTCTAAGAATAACTAGTTATGCTTATCCTGCAGTTACTTTACATCCTCAGAGCAAAGCAGGTACATGGACCACAGCTATAGGAAAACCCAGAAGGGTAACGATGGGGGAGAGGAGGTAAAAATGACCGAACCTCACCCCAAGTCACTACTAAGGCAAACTAGTCACAAGATAAAACTGTAAAGGCTTCACTTCAAACATTTAGAAACAGCTAAATGTCCTTGCTATAATTCAGAGAACTTGTCAAAAGCAAACTGTTTCTTTTTAACACTGAATCATACAAAGGACACAGAATGGTGGTGGAATAGTTAGTAAATGCAAGCTCCCAGCCTCCCTGTGTTCCTCGACTGCTGCTGCATTATTGTCCCACGGCCATCGCTGTAGGGACTCTCGTCTGAGGCCCGGCTGCCTTTCATCCCCTTTGCTGTAAATTGGAATCATGATTACCGCCATCATTAACCTTGGGAGCCCAGCTCTGCAGCACGTCCCGCATGAGTGGCACTTCACAGCAAATGACCTGGCTCCAGAGTTGGCATGCATTGCTTTCTATTAGTATTTTCTTTCCCTACCTGTTCAATCCTTTTTTCTCCACTTCCCTTCTTTTCCTGGCTTTCCCCTTTTCCTTCCCCTTTTCCAGTGCCTCTGACCCATCTCTACTTCTTCACTGTCCTTTACTCCCCTTTCCCTCATGCAATCCTTGTCTCTTTTCTCCCAATCCTCCCCCACCTTCCTCTTTCTAAACTGTTCTCTCTTGCTTTGCTTTGTCCCTCCTTACTCATCTCTGTGAGATAAATTTTCAGAAGAACTCAATGTGCGAAAAAACATCTGGTAGACTGTTTGAAGACAAAGCATTTGCAGTTTGTTCATAAAGCATTAATCCATATTTCTGGTAAACCAAACAAGAGTGACCTTTGAATGTTTATGTTACTGAAGACAAATAACTACTCTGACAAAGGTGCCCTAAAGCAAAACAAGAGTGACACCAAAGCAGAGCAGCCCCATTCACGCTTTGAGAAATGGCAGTGATCAGACCCCATTTCAGTCAGAGAAAGCGAGCCTCCTGCCCTTAGCATCCTGAACACCAGTCACCACAAAGGCCTGGTGATCACAAACTCATTCCCCTGGGAGCAGTTGCATACTCATTTAAATGAAATCTTTTAAAACTCCACATATTTTGATTAAGGGGATAAACTATTCTTCAGCCTCTGGAAACAATCACACTCCTTAGAAAGTGACTCAGTTTGCCAGACGGCCCTGCAAGGCCACCTTTCCAGAGACTCCCATGTTTTCCCAAGTGTAGCTCCAATTGTGTTCCCTCTCATTTTCAATGCAGATTGATAATATGCATGAAGAATGGAGGAAAGAAAGGCAGTGCAGCTTTCTCCCCCTCTCTCCTGACTTACTCACTGAAACGCACATATTTTTAATTGTTTGCTGCATGCTGAGCTGAAACTCCAAGGTGGGCAGCTGAGGGTTATGGAGAACGCAGTGCCAGGTCGTCACCCTTGACACTCTTCAGAACACAGCACTGCCTGAAGGACTGACCCCAGCAGCTGTGGAATGGGCCACACAGCTGGCATTTCTTGCATGCTTCTGGATGATATGATGCCGCTGGTGCAGGAGAATACAGGTGCGGTGCAGCTGTCCCCAGCTCTGCTGTCACTCACTCATATGTCTATATCTTCATTCATTAGGCAATTCCTTCTGACTCAGGACCCTGGCTGCCTCTGCCTCTGTATGTTAGAGCAGTGCTCACTACATTACTTTTTAAAGAAAAAAAACATGAGGACCAAGCTGAAGGAGTTACTGTTCGGTTTAGCCCCAGACACAGCCTCGGTTGTGTGTTCCATCGAAGTGGAGCAGTCACGGTTGGTGTGCATAGCTCTCAGGCAGTGTCTGGGGCATTGCACTGTGTAATTATATGCTAGAGAGAATGCGGAAAGATACCGAGTATTGTCTACAGATCAGCAGGCTCAGACTTAGAGGCATGTTGCAATCATCTGGGGAGCTTTAAAAATTACCAGTAGTTGGGTACCATGCTTGGTGATTCTGATGTAGTTGCCCTGGGAGAAAGCTTGAGCAGCAGGATTTAGAAAGCTTTGGGGGCAATTATGGTGTTCAGCCAAGACTGAGAACCAACAGGACAAATGTAAGAATCTATAAGGTTTTAATCACACAAAAACTTGACCTAATTGTGAAGATCTCTAAGATGTCAAAGACCAGTAACGGGACAAGACTGGCTATGTTGTTGAAATCTGATGAGGTCCTTGGTGTGTGTGTGTGTGTGTGTACTATGTGACCAAGTGCAGAGAATTAAACATTCTTAGCTACAAAGACTTTGATTCAGTTTAGTCTGTATGACTTAGGAATCGTCTTCTAATTTCTCAACTAAATTTTTAGTTCATATCATGGCAGATAGTAAAAAGAGTGACATTTGAGAAACACAGAAATTAGAAGATTATTCAAGTATTGTGTATAATATATCTTGCATGTAATATATTACATATCATTATATCTTGTAAATATATGATTTATAAACTTGTTTGCTGCTTTTTTAAAAATCAGGTGTTTTTCAATTTTAGGTGGTTATGAATGGTTTTCTGGTACATTAAGCTTTATTATGATGATGTGTTTTGGGCATTTCTTTTCAGTAATTCATAGTGTCCAGCCCAAGACTGTTCTTTCCATTTTCAAAAAAATAGGGAGAGAGAGATTTTCAAGTAGTTGGACCTCTCTGCCTTAGGTATCTGATTTCATCTTCTCCAAGTCTTTCCTTGCTTTGAATTATAATAGGTCTAAGTTTCCATAGGATTCAAATTTATCTTTAAAGAACTACTTTAATAGTTCTTAATATTCTTTGAACTGAAAAATGTTCAAATCCTTCTTATCTAAAAATGTATGTGGTTTCTATTAGAGTTTTGTTGATGTATTAAAATATTACAACACATTTAGTGGCTTTAAAAATACATTTAAAAAAATACATTTTTTTAATCTTAATTTGAGACTCAGGCATCCAGGAGTGACTTTCTAGGTTCTCAGACAAGAGTTTTGCAAGGCCGCCATCAAGGTGCTGGGTAGTCTACATTTCTTTCTGGATTCTAGATGCTATTCGAATCTCACATGGTTGATGGCATAAGTCAGTCCCTCGTGGTTTACATTTTCTCCTACTGGTGATTGCCTGAGCCACTCAGCTCTTGGCAGCTCCGTGTGGTCCCATGCCAGGTAGTCCTTTTATGAGTTTGCTTGTGAGGTGACAACTTACTTCTTCAGAGGCAGTATGGGACAGTCTCTGCTCTGTGGAGGAGCAATCCTACAAAATATGGCATAATCATGGGTGTGACTTCCCCGCCTAACCCTCACATCTC